GCCCTTCTCTACGCTGCTCTGCTCGACTCTATTATAAAATGCCATTTAGCTCGCTTTCCCAACTACAATGGCCAATGTGCTGGCGATTTTCTTTTAAATCGATTTCCAAGTGCCGCCTCAACCTTTGCCTCAATTTTTTCCTAGAACGAGGCCCTTTTTATTTCACTTCTGCTTCACTAGGTAAAGGAAAATCCAGAGAAATTTTAAATTAAAGAGCTTGAATAGGAAACAGGGGATTAATACAACATTTAACAATGCAGAATTGCAGAAGGAGTATATAAGGAATAAATTTCTTTTTTTTTTAATTTGAATGCAGGTTTTGTTGTTTTTTTTTTTCAAATTCATTCTAAAAGCAATTACGGTAATTGATTTAGATGAAAAGATAATTATAGAAATATTTCTTCTTTATAAATAAATAATTTGCTGCAGTTAGAAGGAATTTCCTCTTCCACAGCAGCAGATTCCTTTCAAAGTAATTTTTGTTATACATATAAAAGAGGACTTTACCTTTCCGGCAGCTGGGTGTTATCTGCTCACATGTCACACACATAAGTACCCCCTCATCTCTCTCTCTCTTCCCTTCATCTCTTGCCAGAACTAAAAGCAACGCGTTTTTGCTTGTTCTATTGCCGTAACAAATCCATTTTACCTGTCAGCTTTAACGCGTAAGCAAATGTCAAAACGGCTGCTGGCTAGAGCAAAGCTCCAACCAAAGATACCTGCATAAACACACTCACACACACAGATACACATTGTATCTAAGTACTTGTGCACATATATGCACACACGTGTATATATATATATATATATGTACGTATTTAGGTAGCTGACTGTGCGCGTTGATATATTGCCAAGTCGCAATTAGAGCGCAGACCGCAGAATGAAACTCTGGCTGCCATGTAAACAAGCCACGCTGACAACAGCAAAATCTAAACGACAGCAGAGGAAATACATTTTGCGCAAACAAAATCAAGCAGAGGAGCAACAGAAATACTTTTACAGCAAGCGGAAATTAGGGAATTGTGAGTTTTGTTTAACGAATCGGAGACGCATTAAATTCAATCAAATCAAATTTCCATCGCACAAATGCAATTCATGTTGCCAAGCGTCTAATTAAACGCATGTGCACCGCTATCTGCAGAGCCATGAGCCCTGGGCTGGCTTTTTAATACAATCTGTCGCTAATTAGTCTCAGCCAGTCCAGTCCAGGTTCGCCAACATGCGTGACAATCGCCAAGGGCACAGATCAAACGCTTTGCAAATCCGTTTCGCTTTTTGCCTTTTTGCTCCCCAAGAGACATGACCTGTCCTTTCGCAGTCCCCACGCTGTAAGTGAGGCGTGCAACAGTTTTCAGAGGCCCTTTACTCATACGCCTCGCCCTTTCATTCGAAATCATATTACACGCGTTGCCTTGAGATCAAAGTATTGTGTGCCCCGTCTTTGGGGAGTCACTGTCATGCAGCACAGGGCAAACGAATTCGTTTTTATAATACAAATTCTTTGTTTCACTTACAATTCTTGTGAAACAAATTGATCTTTCGAAAAAAAAGACAATTTATAATTATGCTGTAGCTAATGCGATGCTAAGTAGAAATTATCTCGACTTGAAATTACCTCGTTAAATTTTCAGAGACTTACTTCTTATATAGAATAAGTAGGAACATAATTTGATTGATATTTAATGTGTTTCAAATTGAGGCGAGACACAAAATCTTATATGTGATGCAAACTCAGTCCCTTTTTATTCCAAATTTCAACAACAAATAATTTATATATTACAGGTTTGATTACGAACTCTGTGACATCTCTTTGTGTTACTGACATGCCTTCTTAGAGCTACAGCTTAGTCGATTCTGGACCTTACAATGATCTTCACATCCCGTCACTTTCTTAACGTTTTCATAGCTTTTATAGCACTGTTGAATCATCCAACGACAACACAAAAGATAAAAATACATTGTCCAGCATGGCCAACTTGCATTACGTTGGAGATGTGTTGCCAGAGAAAATAAGTTTAAGTTAATCATAAATTAAAACAATTATAATAAAAATTTAAAATGAAAAATAAACAGCCAATGTTGAGTTGGCAAACATATTAACAAAACTTGTTTTTATTTATGCTATATTAAAATGGAAGCAGATATCAAACAGAAACAAATAACCACATAATAAAAAAGTAACAAAAATAAGAAAATATATAAATAATTAAGTAAATAAAATATATATATAATAAATAAATAATTGAAATAAATAAATAAATGAAAAAAATAAATATAATAAATATACAAGTCAATTGGAATATCTTTCCTTAATATATATTTAATATAAATATATTAATAATATTATAATAATAATTAATAATAAATAAATAGTCTATAAGTTAATAATCATTTATTTATACAATTCTAAATTTAAATTTCAAAGAATCGAGTCTGTCTATATAGTTGAGTTAAAGGCATTAAGAACTAAAAAACACAAAGAGGCAAAAGCAGCAAAATGTATAAACGATTGCGTAATGCAAACTGCGGAATTCTGCCATTGCGAATCTGATAACTATGGAAAATGTTGTGTGTGGAATAAAAAAAAATAGTAATAAGAACGAAAGCAAATGCTAAAGTGAAACACAGTATGCCAGGCGGCCACGCCCATTTTTGCATATTACAAAAGGCAGCAAAACACATTTGAATAATGAGTCTGGAGCAAAGCGGTTGCTGGCATTGTCCCTTGGCAGCCAGCCCGCCGTTGTCGCAGCTGCGCTGCCACTGTTTTTGGTCACTGACATTTTGGGATTTTGTGCGCAAATTTGAGTTTTAGTTTAAGCATGCAGTTGCAGCTTACAGCAGCCACAATAGTTGTAGCAGCAGCAGCAGCGAGCACAGCTGCTAAGTCAGCTTAGGTTGTGTTTTGTTTTGTTCTGCTGGCGCCTGGAACAAAAGTTTGCAATCCAATGCTAATTATGCCGCCCGGACCTGAAACTCAGTTAGGTTGCCAGACAGTTAGTTAGTTGGGAACCGCGAAGTTGCTTCTGGGTTCGAATGGCAGCTAATTTTTGGCAGCTGTCAGCAGTGCGCCACATAAATCCCTCAAAAGTCAACAGCATTTTGCCCAAGTGGCACATCAATTCGCGTGCTTGTCAGCCACAATACACAGCACACACGCACACACATACAGTACACACAACACACTAAGCATACACATCTGGGCGCATTTGCATGCTAAGATACAGAACATGACATATAGCGGGTACACATCATATTGCAATCGTCAGTTGTGTCACCGCATGCAACGTCGCTTATCGCTCATCTTTGTAATGATTGCAACAGCTCCAACAGCCACGACAGCCCCAACAATAATCCCATCTGCTAGACTCGCACCCCCACGCCAACAGCTTTCAGACCCCATTCCATGTCAGTTATGCATTTTTCATAACGCAATTCGTGTTATTCACGCGCTCGCGACAAGACCAAATCTTTCTCATTCTCAAAGCGCTATAGCATGAAGACTGCTCTGCACAGTGGTGCCAGACTAATTGTTTTCACAACTGTTAAAAACTGAATTCTGTCAATTATATTTTCAGCAATTTTCACTTCATTAGAGAAAATATATTTTGAGCTACACAAATTATTAGTAGACCAAGGAAACTTTTTTTTACAGATGATTCAAATATTATTTAATATTAATATTTAGATTTCTTTTATTTATTATTAAAAGTAAAATCTAAAAGAGTTTCAGAAAAATAAAATAACGTATTTTTAGATATGTAAATTCTTTTTACAATATTAAATCTGGATAAGTTTTAATTCAATCTAAAAAATATATTTTAAGAAATCAAAGAATTTTTAAAAGGAAATAAAAAAATATTCTAAAATTAAAGTGATGTAAATAAAATAATTTAGCTATTAAATTAAATTTTGTATGCATAAATTTTAATTCTTTATTATGTGTCTTAATTATTTATCCACTGTGCTTGTGCCATAAAAATTGTCACATTAATCATCCGACTACATGTCGTTGGGGTTATTTTTATTTTATATTTTGGTGCTGGCGCAGGAAACATGAACTTAGTGTGAAAATTCGAAATCCAGCAGGCAATTAAATCGAATGCGCACAGCAATGCAACAGCAGCAGCAACAGCAACAACTCCCCCTTTTAGGAACAAGTGCAGAGCGCATAAATCAAAGAGCAGCGGCTGGGACCCACCCGAAGGGGACACGCATCGATTAGGCAGTCTCACTGGAAAATGACGGCGAGGGGGATTTATTTTTATCAGGCTCAGAAGCAGACTCCCAATACCAAGGCAGGCGCGACATGCTAAATCGTCTGCGCCGTATTTAAAGCAGCAGCAAATTAATTTATTTTTTCACGCCGCTTTCTGGAAGTTGCGCATTAATAAGCAATTAAGATTTTTTAATTGCAGCCAGCCACTGCATAGGTGTAGTCTTAATAGACTTGAATTCGTCTGTAGCTAGGGTAATGGAATTTTATTCTAGAGTGAATTTCTTTCGGCATTTTTCTTTTGACTTTTGGCGAGAGGCAGACCAAGCCTTGAGCCTTGAGCCTAGCTGCTCGGCTTCAGTTGTATCGTATTTATGACTCACAGCTCGTTGCCACTTCAAGCGAACAGCATAAGCCGCTTATCTGTGGGCCGTTGGGTAGAGAAAGACAGACTGAGAGGTAGTGTGGGTGGCAGCACTCTAAAGCCGCTTGGCAATTCCTGGTACTGGCCATGCATTGGGTATTCGTACAAATTAGCTGCTCTTTGTACGAAGTTGTGCATGAAAATGTTACATAAAGCTAGATATAAATAAAGCTTTGTCTACTCATATCAAAATATTAGCCTCATCTCTGTTCTAACTTCTCAAAAAGGCAAAATAAATGGGGTAAATATATATATTGTCTAACTATTTCAGAGATTACTTGCTTTTTGCATTCAAAATATATTTTGAAAATAATTTTTCTTCAAAAATTTCCCATAATTTGTAGCATTTTATTTATTTACCTTCTAGATGTGCGTGCTCCTCGAGGAACTTCTGAAAATGAAAGAAAATACCATTAGCTAACATATCAAATGTTTATATAAATTCAATTAATAATAAGACTTTGATTTGTATGCAGACTAAAACTGAATAAACTCGTCGTATCGGGGAAATAGTTTTAGTGCCAAGAAAAGTTGATAAAAAAAAAAGAAATAGGAGAAATATATACCACATTAAGCAGGCTTCAACGATGCTGACGTGCATGAGGCACGACAAGAGTCTCGAATCAGGCGCATAGCGTGAGTGGTTGAGTGGGTTGCGTGGGTGGTTTGAGTGATGGGGCTGCGAGCAATGACAACAGCCAGACATTGAACACGAAAAAGGAAACTGGAGCGAAGACATTAGCCTGAACTGACAGCAACAAGATGCAAGATAGATACTCAGCTTATGGTTCTATTTTCCAACTGTACCAGGGAAATAAAGCTTGCAAACAAGTAAACAACAAATGACAGTCTGTCGTGAAAGTATGCGCTGCAGAAGGTGTAGATGAGCCCGAGCTGTGTGCTCATTTGCGGGAAGAACTGAACTGGTCTGAAGCGCCATAGATCTATAGTTGCCAACATGCAGTTGGTCTTCCTTATATATTGAAAAGCGCTTTTCTGGCCCAAGGATACATGTACACACACACACACACAGCAACACAGTTACTCACGCACTCATTCATTCGACAGCTGTTTAGTTTCGCTAGCTACTCGTCTATGCAATATGCACAGAAGTTGGCTTAAATTGAGACTTTCATCATGGCCTCAGGCAGCTGGCAGGGCTTTTATTTTCCATCTACTTTCAAAGAGAGCGAGAGACTCTTGGCCAAGTGCTTTTCGTGCCAGTGCCTCAGTTTAAATATTTATGTAAACGCGGAATTTCATGAGAAATATTTCGCAATTGCTGCACAAGCACAAGCACAAGCCGAAGCATTTTGCTTTTATTATTATTGAAATAGGCCAGGCCAAAACGAGCTTATGCTAAGCATTTCACCTACGACTCCCACTCGCGGCTGCACTCTGCCAATGAAATGGCAAAGGAGTTGTATATTATTGTTGTTCGACTAGCTCCTTGAAATTCACGAGTTTGCTCAGCTCTTCTTATTGGACAGATGATGAAACTGCTCGTGGTAGAGTCACGCTGCAGCCATCAGCTCGAATGAATAAACGCCGGCTGCGAGAGTTTAATGCAGATATAATAAGCATCAAATGGTTTTCTATATTCAATGAAACCTGAAGCACTTTAGGTATTAGTTGAATCTATAGAATTTATAATTCTTATCCAAGCTCTGGGGCCACTTGTTCGCCTGGTGCGCTGAAGCATTAATGCGAGAATGTTCAAGGGCTGCGAGTTGGAATTACGAGATCCATACGAAAACTCAATTGCGCATGCAATGGCTCAAAGGGCTTAAGTGCGTATAACATTCAATTTGCGTTAATGGCATTAAATAAAGTCACACAAACACACCCGCACAGACACTATCAGCAGGGCCTACGAAACATTATGTTACTCAGTTTCACCTTTGAAAACATTTTCATTGGCTGGCCACTTAACAGGCAAAAAAAGGTTCTGCTGCCAGACTTAAGCCTCTGGCCAGGCAGACCTGGGAAAATAAATACAAAAAAAAACTACAGGCATCAACGTGCAATGGCTGTTTTTTTTGCGATATTCTTAAATCGCATTAAAAATCATTGGCACATGCTGCAGAGGCAGAGGCGGGGCCAGAGCCAAAGGTAGCGCCGTGTGGCAGGCGGGAGGGAAGGAAACTACGACGAACGTAAAATAAACAACAACAGTTTCATTTTCAGTTTAAAGCGGGTAAAAACTTGCCAAAACAATACAAATTTACCAACTGCAAAGCCTTGTGCTCGCCCAGCCTCATGGGGCGTGGCAACAAATCAGGCAAAAAACAGGAAAACGCTTTGCCGACGAGCTCTGAGTCGGTGTGCGCCAAAAAGTTGTACTTTAGATAAAGTTGCTGCTGCTGCTGGTTGGTTTTTAGCAAACATATTCGACATGCAATGCACGTACATGCTTCAACACACACAGAGAGAGAGAGAGAGCTACCCGAACCTACACCTGGATAAAGTTGGCTGTGATAGACGCATTCAATGCGCTTGTTTCTTGCTCTTATCTCCACCTTTTTGTTGGCATGATTTCTTGAGCTTCTCCACACAGTTTGTTCGCACTTTGAGCGATTCCTTGTTTGTGGCATGTAGAAAAACGCAAAACAAAACTTGAAAAGTGTTGCTGCAATACGAATATTAAATACCCTTGCGAGCTGTTGTCAATAAGTCTCAGGCCATGCCACCCACGACTTCACTTCATTCAAAAATCATTCCATTTCTGATTAACTATAGTTACTTATGAAGTGTTGTCACTTGTAGTTCAGTCGTTTTATAGTACCCACTCGCTGCCTAGAGTATAATGTCACCGTGTTCAAGCATCTGCCACAAAAGTCCCTTGAGAAGGCGTCGAAGTGTGGCATACTTTTAGGCTATGCCAGCGCCTTGGAGCAGCATTTTGTCTGTTTTACTTGCATTTTGTTGTGTAAATTACATGCACATACACACGCACACACACACGCACACACACACGCACACACACACGCACACACTTGCTGCCAAACACAGTCAAATAAAATAAAGCACAAAAACTTGGGCACTTGGAAACTGTTTTGGATCTGTTCTCTCTGCTCGCTTCCTTCTGTGTGTTTTCCCCAGTCTCCCGCTCTCTGTCTCTCTGCAGTAATAATAATAAAGGGAATTGTTATTGTTTTCTATTAATTTGCTTTTGTTATTTGTGTTGTTTGCTTCTTCTTTTTGTTGCTGTTGTAGTTGGTTTTAACATTTTGCTGCTGCTGCCACTCAACGATGTCTGCATTTGATTTGATTTGCTTTCGCTTCAGCATTGTTTTGACTTAGGAAAATGCGCTTCAGCCTGGGTAAAAATTTGTGTGTAAATTGATTTATTTTTCATTTGAATTCAAACTATAGCAATAAAATTCATAAAAATGTTATTTAATTAATGAAATTGTCTGACGCTCCAGGAGTTCAATAAGCTTTAATCATATGCAAGTGGGCAGACTAATCGAAGTGCAAAGGACTAACTTTTGATGAAGATAAATTTGAGTTTAATATCAGCGGGAAACTTGAGATAAAGCCGATGGCAGCAGCTGCTCGGTTGAATCGTATTTTGCATAAAAATGAATAAGTTCACTCAGAAAATGTTCGGCAAGCCGCATGGCGCCACTGGGCCATTGACTTGTCAATGTTTACAAACTAATATGCCAAAGTTTTGGGCACCAAACGTGGGTCAACGAACGAACTTCTTTGATATTTGTATATCGTCTACATTTTATAGCCAAAAGCAATGAACTGAACTTATTGATAACACGGACTGCGACTCAATCTGCAAATGGTCTATAAATAGCACATGGAGCTGATTGAAACATCTGCAAACGTCACTTAAATTCATATATTTATATAACCAAAGCCTGGCACGCAGCTAAATGTAAGTATTACTTGCACAGCCTAATAAAAAAAGTAAGCCAAGACCAAATGCGCTTATAATGAAAACTAGCTCATCTCATTCACATTCAGATTCACATTCGCATTCACATTCACATTCAGATTCAGATTCACATTTTCTATGGCCACTCTTGGCTCTGAGACAACTCGCATATTCGTCTTTCAGCCAAGGACGCACTCCCAGCTGCCTTCATTGCCAACACTTTGTCGCGCTTTTGGGGCCAAAAACAGCAGCCGCACCACACCACACCACACCCCACCACACCCGGCAGCCCATTACAACTACTTAAGGTATGTAAATAACGCGATGTGCGCGAGAGGCGGGCGCCGCTCGAAATAAGCCAAGGCAAATCATAAGCAGCCAGCGAGTAGCTGCTAGCTAACCCCATTCTTATTATCAGCCCCAGCACCTGCATCCGCCCCAACTACCTCACAGAGCATTAGCATAATCGTTATGGTTATGCGCGACGTGTGCATAATGGCTAAGAGTAGGTGTTGGGAAAGGGCGGGCGGAGGCGGAGTGAGAGCTCTAAACCAGCGACACGCACATATAAACTATGTTAAGTGCGCTGACATTGTGATATATAGTTTTTTCTACCCTCACTGCTCGAGCAGCAATGCCAGCTAAACAAGCTTGACTAAGAGCATCAGTTGCTAAGAAAATTATATCAAGTAGATGCCGCGATGCTGCAGCTTCCTTTTTCTTAGCATAAATTTTATGAAGTCTAGTAAGGGTTAGAGCCCTAGAGAAAAATATTTTTCATTATGATTTCTTAATCAAAACTTAACCTAATTACTAAATCATAATCATAAATCATAATAATAATAAAAAAGTTTTCTATATATATATCTTTTATAGCTATAACTTTTATATATTCTACAAACAGTTCGATTTATGTTAATTAAAAATTTTTTATTAAAATTGTGAAAGCCTTCACTAACTTTATTAGATGGAATTCAGACTAATTTTTTAAAATTAAATTATTTCAATAAATACTTAATATATTCTAAGTTTCTGCTATCTAGCAAAAAAGCTTGAAGCTAGAAAGTGTATCAAATTCTGTATAATACTTCATTTACTTTCAGCTAGCTTGTTTTTACTTTGGTTACCCAGTGCACCTCGAGTGCGTGGTGGGCCTTAAAGCTCGGACCGGGCGTTCTGTTTGCTCAGGTGCGCATATTAAGTAGCCGCCACATGTGACGCTCTTTGCATGTGTGTGTGTGTGTGGGGGGGAGGGTTTCTGTTTTGGGGCATGATATTAGCAGCACACACTCAGCACACACACGTACAAACATAATAAATAACCAGCAAAAGTAACAACAACAACAACAACAACAACTCGATGGCAGCTTAAGAAATCAAGAGCCTGGCCGACTCAGAGCTGAGAGGACATCTAGAGAAAAAGAGAGAGAGCGAGTGAGTGAGAGTGAGAAAGGCGAGCGTGAGATCTCTATGTAGCATGTTTAAGATTCAGCACGCAT